AACACACACACACATACACTCATTCACACATATACACACATACATACACACACATACACATATGCACACATACACATATACACACATACATACACACACATACACACATGTGCATATACACACATAAATAAAAAGTAACAGGGTTCTTTATCCTTTAGAGTATAATACAGTTACTCATTTCCTGAGAAGATTGAGTTATTGAACCTCAATGAAAATGCTGGACATCTGGCAGTATTCTTATAAACTCTGTGAAATATAAATTTTACAAAATGAGCTTGTTAATGCTAGATGGGGGTGATGATAGTAATGGCAGATGAGGAACAGACAAGAGGAGATAGGCCTGGAGACTACTGGGGTGACCCAATAAGAACTGAGAAGCTGCTGGAAGAAATGAATCTGCAAGAGCCAATAAAAAATTGAAAATTGAAAATATCACAAGTTGAAATGTACTTAATCCACTTCACCTTCCAAGCACTGTAGCTTACCAACACATACATCACAGAGTGGTCCACCCTCGTGATCACATCCGACCCGGAACTGCAGCTCGCTGCCACTGCCCAGCATCCTAGGAGTATAGCATCCCATGCCACTCGCCCAGGAAATAACACAATCCCGATTTGAAACACAGTTTCTACAGAGTGCATATTGCTTTCACACCATCACAAATGTGGAAAATCATAGGTCAAACCATCTGGGAGCTGCGTATGTGGGCTTTGAATCGCATTTTCCAATTGGTGCGTCACACTGATGTACTGATTTAACTTGCTTCTGTGGTTTCTATAAAAGCTTTTTGGATGGCATACTGTGTCGTACGCAGGAGGGGGCTTCCACTACTTCCATTTTGCTCTGTGATCAGACTTTCACTCTTTATTCAGTATATTTTTAAGTAAATATTTTCTTATGTCAATCCTGTTTTATTTTTAAAATATGAATAAAAGTACTCAAATTAGGTGTGGGGAAATAGCTCAGTAATAGAGCATTGCCTTGCATTTGTGAGGCCCTGGACTCAGTCCACATATCACAAAAAGCAAGAAGGATAGAAAACTTAAGAATTTAACATATCAAAGAAAAATGTTGTTAACAGCAAAAGGAAACATATGTCAACCACAAGTTTATAGTATTTTTAAGTTTGCTTGCTTTTCATTTTTTTTTTTTGAGACAGGGTCTTTCTATGTAGCCCAGGATAGCCTAGATGCCATGATCCTCCTGCCTCAGCTTCCTGGGATTACAGATCTGCACCATATGTCTGACTTTAGTATTTTATTATTATGATTTATTCTAAGGTACAACAAGAATTATACACATATAATCCTCCCAATATAAAGGCACTTTTTATAGTATTCTAACTAACAGTATAAATTATAATTAAAATAATAAATTTAAAATATTGTTAAAAATGTAAAAAAGTATCCATTATCAATATAAACAAAAATCTATGGGATTGTTGAGATGGCTCAGTGGTTAAGAGCCTTCGTTGCTCTTGCAGAGAGCCAGGATTCAATTCCCAAAACCCACAGAGTAGTTCACAGTCATCTATAACTCCAACTCCAGGGAATCCAAGGATTCTGTTTTGACCTCTGAGGGCACCACGTACACACATGATGCACACAGATACATGTAGGCAAAATACTTACACAATAAAATAAAATAAAAATCTAAAAACTAAATATATGCTAAATGATGACAAATTGACTGACTCAGTTTGTTTGTTTTTTGCCCTTTAGGCATTAGGGTTTTTATCCTCTTACGGAATAGGAATGGAATATGATCAAGCCAAGGTAAAGTCAACTCTATTTTTTTTTCAGGAACAAAATTGATTTACTTAAAAGGAACACTGGGTAGAATTTATTATTAAAGAAGTTCATTCTACTGTATATTAAAAGTATCCACTAAACAAAGAAATTTAGCAATCTGCCACAAACTTCTTAAAGTCTTATATATCAGGTTCATTACTACAGGTAGATACTATCTACTTCATAGGATTTTAAGATGATTAAATGAAATACCATATGTCATGCCTTTATCACAGACTCTAAGCTCTGTAACCCCCAATAAATGGAAACCAAATTAACAGAACAGATTGAGACTTGGAGTATATTTTGGAATGGCTTTCAGTTCATTACTGGGGTAGGAATAAAGAAGCAATGTTTGGCTTGAGTTCCAGTTTAGGAAACCATTATAACTGTATTTCTTTTGTCTTAGGCACTGATATATTATACCTTTGGAAGTGCTGGAGGAAGTATGATGTCCCAAATGATTCTGGTTTGTAAATATTCTTAGAACAAAATAGATGTATTATAACTATAGCATTATTTGAACATTAACATGTATCCATGCTTATGTTTTAGGGGTACAGATATCTGTCAGGAATCAATGTTTTACAAAATTGTGAAGTTGCCCTAAATCATTACAAGAAAGTGGCAGATTATAGTAAGTAATTCTCATAAGTCTTTGAGAAGGGTTATTTGGTGGTTGATTGGTTGGCTGGTTGGCTGGGTTCTTTTGAGACAATATTTAATTGTATATAGCCTTGGCTGGCCTGGAATTCCCTATGTAGGACCAGGCTGACCTTGAACTCACAGAGACCCATCCATCTCTGTTTCCTGAGTGGTGGGATTAAAACTGTGCACCACTATGCCTTGCTATACTATTTGTTTCTTAAACATAGAAGTTAAGTGAACTTTCCTAAGTCTAACCTATATAATGTTGGATAGTTTGTTTAAAAGTTCCTAGTGGGGGCATGGTGGTATGGGCCATTGTCTTAGTTAGCATTTCTGTTGCTGTTAAGAGACACCATGACCACCTCAACACTTAGAACAGAAGACATTTAACTGAGGCTGACTTAGACTTTTAGAGGTTTAGTCCCTTATCATAGTGATGAGCAGCATACCCGCATGCAGACAGACATGGTGCTGAAGGAGCTGAGAGTTCTACATCTTGACCCACAGGCAGCAGCAGGAGTCTGTGTCCACACTGAGTGTAACTTGAGCATAGGAGACCTCAAGGCCCACCCACATAGTGACACACTTTCTCCAACAAGACAACACCTTCTAACAGTGCCACTCCCTATGGGATCCATTTTCCTTCAAACCATCGCAGCCTGTAAACTCTGTTCTTGGAACACAGAAACAGAGAACAGTCACTTCAATTTTGAGGCTAGCCAGAGCTATACAAAGAGACCCTGTCTCAAAAAAATATATAAGTGAAAATGAAAAAATAATTCTAATGAAGCAAATAGAAGACACACACAGGAGGGGTCACTCCACAGGTTAGTCACTGTTCTACCACCCAAGTTCTAGCTACAGAAATAGAGCATGAGGGAGTCAGACTTGTCTGTCGTACTCCATGTTGCAACATCACTCAGAGAGATTACAGACGCTTCTAATCAAAGTCTTCCTAGATGTGGATTAGGCTAACTTCTGTATTCAAAAGAACATCTGAACGTGTATCTTAGGCATCTGGGGAAAATGGGGATGGGGGCTTGAAAAAAAAAACACTGTTGGATTTCAGAGGCTATTTATGACAAAATCATTTTATATGCTTAATGATAACGGAATTGTTATGTGCATATTTCAAACTGTACATTTCATTAGGAATATTCGAGCACATATATCTTCACATTTATTCTCAGACTGTCTATAGGGAATAATTGAGTGGCACTTATTCTTATATTGCAATGCCCATTCCAGAAAAAAAGTTAGCACAGAGAGACTAATGGGTATTCCCTTAAAGCCCCAGCTCGAGTACCCTTGCTCATAACCTCATGAGAATCTATGCTGGTAATATTTATATGAGTTCCAAAAGCAAGAACAGACTTTACCCCACTGTTTTTCAGATCCAAATAAAACCCCACAAGTCCCTATTTCCTATGTCTCTCCTGTCAGCAGTCCAGATTCCTGCACAATTGAAGCAGAATGAGTCTGACCATGACTCTCCAAGTTAACTGTTACTTCTTTCTGTCTGAGTGTCCTATTTTCTGATTTGTTTCCATTCACAGTTGCTGACAAATTGCAAAAAAGTGAAGGTATTCCAGTGGAGAAAGTGAGGCTAACAGAGAGACCTGAAAATCTGAGTTCCAACAGTGAGATTTTGGATTGGGACATATACCAGTACTATAAGTTCTTGGCAGAAAGAGGAGATGTTCAGATACAAGTAATGCACAGAGAAAAGACCACGTTCTTAGGACATGCCAATCACCAGAGAGTTGCCCCCTTTTGAATGCCAGGGGGATCAACAACACCTGACTTTGAATGTGAAGGGGAGGAGATAACCTCCTCTCTGACCCTTCCTGGGGGGGGGGGGGGGCTTGTTCAAGAAGAGGTTGCCATAGTGATAGTAAGATAGTGGTGATAGTGATGGTGGTGATGGTGGTGGTGGTGGTGGTGATGGTAGTGGTGGTGGTGGTTTTGCATTTCTTCCTGAAAATTTCACTTTTAAAAACCTTTATGGGAAAATAGTAGCTCCAATGTTGGCATTCATGTAGATGGACTCCCGAGGATCCAGAGTGGAATAGGACAGCACCTATGTGACCTCAGTGAGACAGAGAGACTATGGCCTCTCCATCCATGAACCTGGTCATTACCATAGGCCAGCCACTGAATTTGTACCATTAAGGAAGTCATATGCCTAGTAGCAACTGACTATGTGATAAAAGACATAGACTGGAATGTTCCCCACCCCTTTCAAAGCAAGCCAATAACATTAAACTGAAGCAGTGTACTATAGAAAAATCAACAAATAAATGCTATTTTATTTAAGTTAATATTACTGCTAAACTCTTTTTCAAAAAATCATCATTTCCAGGTATCTCTTGGACAATTACATCTAATTGGGAGGAAAGGTCTAGATCAGGATTACTATGTAAGTTGATCTCAAACTTCAGTCCTATATGGGAGTGAGTACGGCAGTGGTGAGGGAAGCTGAGGGTCCAGTGAAAAGCAGAAGAACAGGAGGTGGGCAAGCTTTTGGGATCCCACAGCTGCTGCTCTGGTCAGGTCCGAATGCCAGCCCCTGAGGGAAAGCAGAGTTCACCAGCAGGTGCATTTTCCTTACCTGCCATCAGGCACAGAGCAACTTCTGATGAGCAACCAAGGTAAAGAATGCCCCATGGCTGCGCAGACCCTGAACATTCCCTCCTCCTGGAGTTCCCTCGGAATGGAGTTGAGCATGGACTTCACTGCCCTTGAACTCTCATCTTCCCCCAAAGTCCTCCTGGGAAATTTCTGCTAAGTTGTCTGAGGACCTGATTCAACAGGTTTGGCTAGGTCAAGAATCAGACTGCTTTTAATTGTAACTCAAGGATCTCTGTAATTCTATGAAATGTTTAATCACTGTGTTTGACCTTGCCTAATTGTGGTGAGTTAGAGGCCTAATCAACCCTCCAAATACATCGTGGAGGAAAAAGAATAAATAAGCCCAACCTACATAGGCAAGATACCACATTGCAGGCTATGTTCTGCCCTAGATTATGATTGTGGTTTCAAGGTGCCAATCACCACAGACCTGGAGAAACAAAGGATTCCTTCTAAAAGATGATGTTGCACTTACTATTATTTTCTAGGAGCCACGTGCTCATTTGCTCAAGGGAATATAAACTCTGTCTCAGTATAAACCCAACAGCCTAAGGGGCAGAAATTACCCGCCCCCTTATAAGGTAGCTACATTAAAAGGGAGATCTGTTACTACTTTCCATTTCACTTGATATTGTTATTTCATGTATGGCTTTGGTGCTGTTACTTTCTCTTTTATATGAGAGACGGTAAACATTAGAAAAATGTCAAAGTTAATTTCATAAAGTAGGTAGCAATTTCCATAAGCATGTGTATCCCAGAGTAACTGAAGCAGAGGTTTCCAGGGCTTTTAAAACCTATTTGTGAGTGCTGTGTTAGGTCCTTAGCTGGGAGTTCTACATTCATAAGTCCGTGCCAGAGTCCAGTTTTAGATTAGAATAGATATTAGTCATTGGGTACTTAAGCGGGAACATTTCCCCATTTGTTATAAACAGGAACTTTTACTAGCTCAAGGATGATAACAGCCTTTTTACAGAACACTCTCCAACACAAACACACACACACACACAATGGCAACACTTGAAGGGAGCTGGAGCCACCTCAACTCAGGTTAAGTACAAGCCCTCCTGAGTGGCACTGAGGATCCCAAGACCAGAGCGGCAGCAGCCAGGAATCAGGCGTCATGAGGACCCATCCCAGACTGCCCAGAGCACTACTGCAGGGACTTTTTTTTTTTCCATTTCTTTATTGAAAAGGAGAAAGAAAAAAAAAAAAAACAAGTTTCCACCTCCTCCCAGCCTCCCATTTCCCTCCCCCTCCTCCCACCCTCTCCCCCTCCTCCCACCCTTCTCCCCCTCCCCCTACTCCTCTCCCTCTCCCTCTCCCTCTCCAGTCCAAAGAGCAGTCAGGGTTCCCTGCCCTGTGGTAAGTCCTAGGTCCTCCTCTCTCCGTCCATTTCTAGGAAGGTGAACATCCAAACTGGCTAGGCTCCCACAAAGCCAGCACATTACGTAGGTTCAAAACCCCGTGCCATTGTCCTTGGCTTCTCTTCAGCCCTCATTGTTCGCCATGCTCAGAGAGTCCAGTTTTATCCCATGCTTTTTCAGTCACAGTCCAGCTGGCCTTGGTGAGCTCCCAATAGATCAGCTCCACTGTCTCAGTGGGTGGGTGCACCCTTCGTGGTCCCGACTTCTTTGCTCATGTTCTCCCTCCTTCTGCTCCTCATTGGGACCTTGGGAGCTCAGTCCAGTGCTCCAGTGTGGGTCTCTGTCTCTATCTCCATCCATCACCAGATGAAGGTTCTATGATGATATGCAAGATATTCGTCAGTATTGCTATAGGATATGGTCATTTCAGGTTCCCTATCCTCAGCTGCCCAAGGAACTAACTGGGGACCTTGGCTTGGGCATCTGGGACTTTTTAAAAGTGTGTTTTATAAACAAAAAGCCTGCTCTGTAGAGATAAAGCAACTCCTTTCAGGTTTCAGAGCTGGGAAGTAAGTGCAGTTAAGAGGCAGAATTGGGGGGCTGGTGTAATGGCTCCACAGTTAAGAGAACAGAGGACCCAGGTTCAATTCCCAGCACCCACATCGTGGCTCACAACTGTCTGTAGCTCCAGTCCCAAAAGATCTGACACTCTCTTCTGGCCTCCATATGTGTCTGGTTACACAAACACACATGCAGGCCAAATACTCCTTTACAAAACAAATCTTCAAAAATAAAGAAGCAAAAGTGGATGCAGGCCCTCATCATTGAAAACCTGTGATTGTTTTTTTTTAGTAATTGTCATTTATTTTTGCACCACTCCCACAATACAGCCTCTAAATCTGCTTCCTCATTTTGAGAGTGAGACTACAGAAAGGCATGGCTGCTCAGGTGCCTCCATCTCTGACTTTCTAGTTTTTTGTTTTGGTTTGGTTTTTGGTTTGGGGTTTTTTTTCCCCCCAAGACAGGGTTTCTCTGTAGCTTTGGAGCCTGTCCTGGCACTAACTCTTGTAGACTAGGCTGGCCTCAAACTCACAGAGATCTGTAGTAGGGAGGCCACTTGTTTGTTTCCCAGCTGCCCAAACTCCTGAAACAACCACACAGAAACTGTATTAATTAAATCACTGATTGACCAATGACTTAGGTGTATTGCTAGCTAGCTCTTACATCTAGAATTAATCCATTTCCATTATTTTACCACGAGGCTCATGGCCTACTGGCAAGGTTTCAGCGTGTGGGGGCGGCTCCATGGCTTCTCTCTGACTCTGCCTCCTGAGTGCTGAGATTAAAGGTGTGCACCATCACCACCCAGCCATCTCCAACCTTCTAAATAATTGTCTGGGGCCTCATTTTTTTCATCCAGAGACCCCAAGATTGTAATTTTAATTCCAGAACCATTCCAGTAGTCAGGCACTCTTTGGGACGGGTTCAGGCTGGTTCTTCCTACTCCTCAGTCTGATGAACCTGAATATATGTGGAAGTTTCCCCAAAAATCTCAAGTTTAAGCCTGACTGCCTTATGCACAGTTAGCTAGCCACAAGGAAGAGGGGAAGACGAAAAAGAAAAAAAAAATCTCTGAGAGGCTGCTAAGGAGCTCCTCCCATATTTGGCTTCATATCCTTTGAGAATGGTCTTGATAGCTCTAGTTATCTATTATCTATTATCCACTACTATACTCCCAGTTGTTTTCCGCATAGCACATATAACTCCCTTCATTATATTGGTCTCTATTGCTGTCTGTGCCCACAATGGGACTTATGTGTTTGTTCGTCTTGCTCTCTAGTTTGTCTTCTACTCAGAATAGTGCACTCAGTAAATGCATAGTCAATAAATGGGTGTTTGTAACCTACACACTGGATGATGCCCTCAGCCAGTCTGATGTTCCAGTCCGCTGAAGAAATTCTTACTACAAGGCCCATTTTAAGTGTGATGCTCCAGTTTGCTGATCAGCAAGTTAAATATCAAAGTGCCCAGGGATAACTATCCTGCCTTTCCCCGTCACTGCTCGCTATTGGAATGAATTAATTTTCTCCTGAATTTGTTATCAGAGGGAACAATTTGGCTCCTCTCTGACCCAATCTGGAATTATTAAAAGTTGTGTATGTGCAATTCTTGATTACATTATCTTGAATTTTTCTATACACACATTTTAATTTCATTTGCATTCTTAAAATACAAACGCTCAGAATGAATTTGATTAGCAAAGCTGGGTGGTTGGATGCATATTATTAACATGGATGCAGCGTAATTAAATTAAAACCAGCAAAGGAATAATATCAACCCTAGGAGCAACTGCATTATCCTCTCTGCTACCCGCTATAGGGAGAGAGCTAATGCTCCTTTCCAGGATGATCTTCAGAGCCTTGGATAAAGGAAATGTTCATAAATGTTTTCAGAGTAATGCATTTCCTTCACATTTCATTCTAGAGAAAATCTTACAAACTGATTAAATTAGGGATTTTCTTAGAGCCAATAAAAAAACCACATTTACAAGATGGGGGAAGTTTAAATAATGAAACTTTACCTAGCACAATACCTGTGACATTCTATTTTTCATAATAACACACCATTAGCTATGACACAAATCATTATTCCACTGAGAAAGAAAGTAGCTGTCTATATAACTTTAGACTATAATCTGCCATTGGCAGTAAGATCTATCCTGGTTAAAATGTACAGTGTAAGATGAGCAGTTGTTGAGTGCTCAATGATTTTCTTCAAGGCAAGGTCTCACATACTCACTCAGACTGACCTCAAACTTACTACACAGCTGAGGATGACTTTGAACTTCTTATCCTCCTCCTACCACCTCCTGACTGCTGGGGTTACAGGCATGAATACCATGACCAGTTTATGTGGCGCTGGGCATTGGATCCAAGGCCTTGGGGATACCAAGCAGGCACTCTACCAACTGAGTTATATCTTTGGCTCTGCTCAGTGAATAATTAAAGGCGACATGGATGGCTGAGTGGATAATTACTCTGTTTCGTTAGTTTGTTTTCTGGCCTGATCTCACATAGTCAAGGCTGGCCTCAAAATCGTTATGGAAGTGAGGATGACCCTGATCTTCTGAGTCTCCTGCCTCCCTCTCCCAAATGCGTCCACCTTCCACCTCACTCAGCTTATGCAGTACTAGAGATCAAACCAGGGTTTTGTGCAAGCTAGGCAAGCGCAAGCACCTGACCATTATTCCTCCAAACCGTCAAAGTTGTTGAGAGCAATAACTTGGTTTTACATATGTATTTCACCACAGTGACTTGCATGGCAATTTCAAGTGATGTTTTAAATACATTTTACAGCTAGGCATGGTGGTGCATACCTTCAATCCCAGTGCTAGGGAGGCAAATGCAGGTGGATTTCTGAGTTTGAGACCAGCCTAGTCTAGAGTTTCAGTACAACCAGGGCTGCACAGAGAAACCCTGTTCCTAAGGGGGCAAAAATGACAATAGAAGCAATCGCAATCACACAATAGAAGCAACCACATCAGAACTGGTAAATTTAAAAAGGAGAACTGAGGTCCAAATAGGAAAAGACAGAGACATAAGGAAAACCACAACACTGGAACAGAGCAAGCTGCAACACCGGGGTGAAGTAAGCCATGAATGTCATGGCAGTGGGTTAGCGTAAGCCAAGACACTAGAGCAGAGTAGGCCATATCACTAATTACTGTGTGAGAAGCTGCCAAGTCTCATGAACCTTATGGGATCACATCGTTCAAGGGTTGGGAACTCTAGGACTTTTATTTGCTTCTGAGTAGATTATTTTTTTAAAAAAACTTCAAATTATCTTTTTTCCCAGAATAAAACTCTTTTTTTCCAGAACTTTCTACTGCAAACTAATTGAGAGCCAAACTACTAAACTGGACTTTGAAATTATTTTAGGACCATCATACTTAGGCCTTCAAGATATCCCATAAAGATAAAACTCCAGGTCCCTTGTTTCAAAGGTTCATAAATATTCATTCGTTCATTTTTAAAATGTTTTATTCATGCTCAATATATGGAAAATACTATATTAAGTACAGAGGATCCAACACTGAAGGAGACAGATAAGTTGGTGGGTGAATGACATTACAGGGACAGAACAGGTACCTGGAGAACACAGAGGGAGAGAATCTACATGAGAAATCTAACCAAGAGATAATGTGACTTGCACAAATGACACCCTTATTGGGTGTACACTTAACTCTGGCCCACAGAGTCTGTGACGTATCAGCCTGAATGTACCCAATCTCCCCAGGTCTCAGCCCCCAAGCAGGGCCAGGCCTGGTTAGTATTTGGATAGGAAGAAAATCCATACAAAAAGCCCTTTTTTCAAAACCAGCGATTTTTTTTTTCAATTTGACAAATCATACATAGTTTTCATTTTCTCCTAACACTTAGATTAGTCCAGAGATTTTAGTTTCAAGATTTCCAAAGGATTATAAATCTCGAAGAGACTGGGCGTGTCTTAAGCATTGGTGATGGTATTGCCCGAGTACATGGACTGAGGAATGTTCAAGCAGAGGAAATGGTAGAATTTTCCTCAGGCTTAAAGGGTATGTCCCTGAACTTGGAACCTGACAATGTTGGAGTTGTGTTTGGAAATGATAAGCTAATTAAAGAAGGCGACATTGTGAAGAGAACGGGAGCCATTGTGGATGTTCCAGTTGGTGAGGAGCTGTTGGGCCGCGTAGTTGATGCCCTTGGTAATGCCATTGATGGGAAGGGTCCAATTGGTTCCAAGACCCGTAGACGAGTGGGCCTGAAAGCCCCTGGAATCATTCCCCGAATCTCCGTGCGGGAACCAATGCAGACTGGCATTAAGGCTGTGGATAGTCTGGTGCCGATTGGTCATGGTCAGCGTGAGCTGATCATTGGTGACAGACAGACTGGGAAAACATCGATTGCTATCGACACAATCATCAACCAGAAACGTTTCAATGATGGGGCTGATGAAAAGAAGAAGCTGTACTGTATCTACGTTGCTATTGGTCAGAAACGGTCCACCGTTGCCCAGTTGGTGAAGAGACTGACAGATGCAGATGCCATGAAGTACACCATTGTGGTGTCAGCTACTGCTTCTGATGCTGCCCCCCTTCAGTATCTGGCTCCGTACTCTGGCTGCTCCATGGGAGAGTATTTTAGAGATAATGGCAAGCATGCTTTGATCATCTATGACGATTTATCCAAACAGGCCGTTGCTTACCGCCAGATGTGTCTGTTGCTGCGCCGACCCCCTGGCCGTGAAGCCTATCCTGGTGATGTGTTCTACCTACACTCTCGGCTGCTGGAGAGAGCAGCCAAGATGAACGATTCTTTTGGTGGTGGCTCTCTGACTGCCCTGCCAGTCATAGAAACCCAGGCTGGTGATGTGTCTGCTTTCATTCCAACGAATGTTATTTCCATCACTGATGGACAGATCTTCTTGGAAACAGAATTGTTCTATAAAGGCATCCGCCCTGCCATTAACGTGGGTTTGTCTGTGTCCCATGTCGGATCTGCTGCCCAGACCAGGGCCATGAAGCAGGTGGCAGGTACCATGAAACTGGAATTGGCTCAGTATCGGGAGGTTGCTGCTTTTGCCCAGTTTGGTTCTGATCTTGATGCTGCCACTCAGCAGCTCCTGAGTCGTGGTGTGCGTCTGACCGAGCTGTTAAAGCAAGGACAATACTCTCCCATGGCTATTGAAGAACAGGTGGCTGTTATCTATGCAGGCGTGAGGGGCTATCTTGATAAACTGGATCCCAGTAAGATCACAAAGTTTGAGAATGCTTTCTTGTCTCATGTTATCAGCCAGCACCAGTCCCTCTTGGGCAATATCAGGTCTGATGGGAAAATCTCAGAGCAATCAGACGCAAAGCTAAAAGAGATTGTAACAAACTTCTTGGCTGGGTTTGAACCATAAAGCCCCATGAATCCATGTCAAAAAAAAAAAAAAGAAATCTCTGATGATGTTTACTTTCTAACAAAATTAAATTCTTAGTTAAATTCTTAGCTTCCATTTACTTTGACAAGCCCTAGTTTTGGGGTACTCTAGTCTGGCTACACTAAAACAGTGATGATTTTTAGACAACTTAGACATTCTCAAAGGAGTGGAGAGTCCCTTTCTCTTGACACCCCACTCATTCTGATGGCCTTGAGACAGTTACACTCCTATTACTTTGGCCTTCCACTTACACCAGGAAGGCAGAATTCCAAGGACATAGAACTGTTTTCAGTCCTCTTACGGAATACATATACTGAGTGCATGACTTGAGATGTCATTTAATAGGGAAAAATATTAACAGTATCTTCCTTAAAATGATATTATGAGAATATAGAAAGAAAAGCCATATAAATACTTGTTAAGAAACAGTACAGCCTATATTCTTTTCTCATTCTCTACCCATCTCATTATTTGAGGACATTTCTTTTATCTCTTCACCTACTAAATGTTGTGAACACATGTTCATTTTCTTTCTCAGCACCATTATCAGGTAGCAAATGTAGGAACCAAGTTTTATTTTAAAATAATTTAATTTATTCCTTGATATTTTCACACATATCTCCTTGATATCTTCAACATATCTACTTCCCTCCCCCACTTAATCCCCTAGACCTCTTCCCCTAATAAATCCCCTCACCTCACATTCTCTCCATATTTACATAGATAGATATAGTTATAAATTTTTTTTTTGATTTTTCGAGACAGGGTTTCTCCGTAGCTTTTGGTTCCTGTCCTGGAACTAGCTCTTGTAGACCAGGCTGGCCTCGAACTCACAGAGATCCGCCTGCCTCTGCCTCCCGAGTGCTGGGATTAAAGGTGTGCGCCACCACCGCCCGGCATAAATTCTTCTATATATATAAATAGAATTATGTACAAGTTAGTGCTACCTACATCCGCATGGCTGTGGAGCCATTCACTGGGGTATTAGCAACCTCCCAGAGGCCAAACCCCCAAAGAAACTTGATTCTGTATTCCCCAGCACTTTCAACTAACAACAGCTCCTAAATGAGGAACGGGGGCCACGGAAAGCCCTGTGCCGTCTGTGCTAGAATGTTGACCGTCTTGGTCTTAGACAGTTCTGCAGCTGACCACAGCCGTTGTGAGTTCCTGAGTGAGACAGCCACGCCATGTCCAGATGACAGCATTTCACAGCGTCCTTCCCCATTCTCAAGGCTCATCCTTCTTTCTGCTTCCTTTTCTGTGATGTTCCTTGAGCCCATGGGGTTGGGGGATGGGGAATGACATAGAGAGGTTCCATTTAGGGCTGCACATTTGAAACTGACTTAGTCACACGCCTTTGGCAACCATGAGTCTCTGTGTTAACTGTTACTCACTGCAAAAAGAAGCTTCTCTGACCAAGGTTGACAGCAGCACTAAGCTATGGGCACATAAACATAAATATTTAGAAGGCAGTTTGATAATATGGGCATTTAGCAAAATGGAAGAAACGGGTTCTCTCTTTGGGCCTATGACCTTTCTAGCTGTGGGCTTTTGGTCAAGTTAACAGTGTCAGGCATGAACTTTCTCCTATAGATCTAGCCTTAAATCCAATCATAAATGTGTTGGTTACCACCAACAACCATGCCACTGTTTCACTCTCTTTGGGAGGGAGTAGCTCGTTGCACATTAACCTAGTCAAGTCCCTGTAAAGAACAGACTCACTGTGCTCAAGCAGATGCACTGAGTGCGAATCTGACACCCAAGAGTTGTTTATGACTCTCATCCTGAGGTTGGTTGCTTTTATTTCTCAGTAGTCTTCTAGAAAGTCAAGATGAAACCTACAGAATGTAGCAATAAGAGTTAAAATTATTCTAGGATGCTTAATCTTATTACTTAGAGAAATCAGAGACTCTGTTGATGTCCTTCATTTTGATTCAGAAGTTGTCTTGGAGCAGACCTCTACACAACGACATAGTCTCAGCAAGCAGCTGGGTATGTCGGGCCTTATAAACATTAGGATTCTGCCAACTATATTACAAGTTGTCTCAAAATAAGTACATAGAAGCCTACTTTTTCAAATACTGGACTATTTAAATCTGTAGCTGAGAGTCATCTTCCACTATGAATCTACATGTCTATCCAGCTTTTCCAAATGTGAGAAGAAAAACATCTTTACATTTTAAATTATATATTTTAAATTTTATGTATATAATTTAAATTGTATATATAATTTAAAATGTAAAGACTTTTATATATGAATATATATTCATAAATTTTATATTTTATATATATGATATATATTTACCCTATTTCAGAACACACACATATTCTCCTACTCTCCAGGTTTATGGTTGAAATAACACTTGGAAGAGTGCCTTAAACAAAGTGGTTATTTCATAGATATTTTTAAATGCATATTGAATGAATAAAATCTAGTTCAAAAAGCCATTTTGTAAAATGTATTTGTGACTGGCAATAATACTATTCCTTTTCTCTCCAGAAGGCACTATACTACTTTTTAAAGGCAGCAAAGGCTGGGAATGCAAACGCCATGGCATTTATAGGAAAGGTACATGCTTCTAGTTCATCAGTACTTGTTGTTTCTTTAAAAGTTAAGAAACATGGGACTGGGAGATGTCTCAGTACATAGCATGCCTGCGGTCAAGCATGAAGACCTAGGCTTCAATCTCTATCCCCCACCCCACCCTCCCAAAAAAAAAAAGCCTATCATGGTTATGCAGGTCTATAACCCCAGTTTGAATGGGTAGAGACAAGCAGATCTTCAGATCTCATTGGCCAGCTAGTCTAGCTCAATCAGTGAATCCCACCAGATAGAGGGGCCAGTAAGGTCACCCAATAATAGGAAAGTCACCTGCGGGGGAACCCTGGTAATCTGAATTCAATCATCAGAAACCACATGAAGGCGGAAGGAAAGAACCAACTCAACAAAATTGTCATGCTGTGGCATGCATGCTAGCAATACACCCCTGCACCAACAGACACACGCACACAATGTAGCCCTGACATAGAGCAGGTGCTGGCCTCGAACTCACAGAGGTCCATCTCCCTGGGCCCTTTGAGTGCTGAGATTAAAAACATATACCACCACTCCTAGCTGAAAAAAAATTAATTATATAAAGTAGAGATCCATCAAGGAAGACATTCATTGTGGACTTCTGACCTACACATGCACATCACACACACAAACACACGTGCGCACACACTCAAAGAAATGGACTTGAAATGTAGCTCGGTGGCAAAATATTTTCCTGGTACATACAAGGACCTAGGTTCAATCACTAGCACTGCAAATAAATGAATGAATGAAACACACACACACACACACACATGCACGTATATGTGTGCGCCTGCACTCTAAGGACTGACTAGTACAACTAGTTGAATGCAGAGTAACATGTGACCACACTTGAATACCCCTTTCCTAGCAACAACTCAAGAGGCACTCAGCTCCAGACAGTGGGTGGTGCTCTTGAGGTGACAGGAAGAAGCCTGTTAGGACATCAGCCTTTATCTGAGGCACTCACAAAGCCTTGAAATACAGCCCATCTGGACTCAGCTACAGAGAGTAGCTATAAAGCCCGTGAGCTTCCTTTAGGCCCAACAGGTAACAGACCAGATGTCATCAGAGACCGTACAGGCCCTGGCTCAGTCAGGTACGTGTCTCTTTCCTCCACCCCTAGAATGAGAAACAGTTCTACCCTAACCAAAGCCAAAATCTTGTGCCTCCTGTGACGGGCTATTCTCTCCCATAAAGAGACTGCTTTCTCCACCTCCCCCCTTGGCACCCCAGTCTGTTTTGACTCCCTGTGGCCGATTTACATTAGTTACCATGGGAATAAGTATCCTGCTTCTAGAAACGTTACTCACATACTGTAATTCAGATGCAAGGAACATGAGAAAACACAAATAGGGTCCATTTCTTTTTCCTGGGGCAGCATCTCCATAGTGTGTGTGTGTGTGTGTGTAGTAGTAGGTGACATTAGCTTCTTCTCCTTTCTTGCTTGAAGTAAAACTAAGACAATGTCTACTCCTTTAAAATGTACAATTCAGTGGTATTGATTATATTCACAATGCTCTGGCAACCATTATGGCTGTTTAGGCTTAAAATATTTGTATCACTTTTAAAGGCTTTTGCTATTTACATCCTCTTTTTCACCCATAGATGTATTTAGAAGGGAATATTGCTGCACCACAAAATAACGCCACTGCCTTCAAATACTTCTCCATGGCGGCCAGCAAGGTATACACCCTGTCCCCTGCAGTAAACATGTAAGATAATCGGCTTCTATTTCAAGCAGACTGATGCCCAAGAATTGACTTCAAAGTCCTAAGCCCATATGATAAGTATATCAAGGGAAGACAGGAACACTCCAAAGTATGATAGAGGGAAAGATTTTTATTACAGGCATGAGGAATAAGTACAGCTATAGACTTCTGAAGAAGTCCAGAGCAGGGACTAAATATGGCCAGTAGACTGAGGGAGGGATAGGAGAACCAGCAGAGAGAGGAAAGAAAGGAAGACAAAAGAACAAGGGAGCAAGCACATGGCCAAAATGGCAGGGTTGTATTGTATGGGCATGGAAAGTTAGAGAAAGAGAAGCCCATGAGCTAGAGAAGTCTAGGGTAGGGGATGGGGTCAAGAGCTGGGAGAAGTCGGGATGCCAACACAGACTCTGTAACAGGTATTTGCTACGCTGAGAGAACCTGGAGGCCAACAAGCACTTTGGCATGCTAATGGGCACCACAGTTAGCCACTTGTCCAGAGTTTCTTTTGGACCTGTCAGTAGCCTAGAAAGGACTTTTGTGTCCAAGAGAAGTAGATCATCAGCAATAGAGCACCGAGCTGGAGCATGGAGGGATATGACCTGTCTTCTGTCTTTTTGGTAATTGAAAAGGGCAGTGACTCATGCCACCCTTGCTGGAGCCAGCAGGAAGCTAGACAGATATGCAGATTCCATCGCCTCTGAGGAGCAGACGAAGCCATGACTTAGGGA